CAACAGAATAAATGTTAAATTCTACGTATACGCTTTTACCTAAATTAATACATTATTTTTAATAACATATTATTTCTCAGTAATAATTGTAACTGATTTCAATTACATTTATCTATCATTTATTTACCTAATCATGTAGCTAGTTTTCCCCCAACCATTTTGATATGATGGATTAAGATTGATTTGTTCTTTTGAGTGTACTGCACCATATTGTGCCCAGCCTATATAATACATTGCAGGATGGTCAAATGACCACCGTCATAGCAAGTATATCAATATCAAAAAACAGTCATTACAAAATGATAAATAACAAATTATTTACAGTGTTTGTATTTTCTATAAATCAAAAATCTTCACAAGTCCCTAGGCTAATGAAGTCAGAAAAGGAAGTGCATTCACAATTGACTGGTTTAAGAACAATTGCTTGTGTTGCATCAAAACTGGCACTTTGAACATACATGGTTTGTACCTGACAGAGTGCTGGCATGTGTCTGTGTCCTGCCAGTCCTCGCTCTGCGTCCCGGATAGGTTCTGTTTTGTCACCGGGACCAGCTGGCTGTAGCTTCTCCATCCATCTCCGTGGCGGCTAGAGGTGACACGCCATCAGCCAAATGGATTAGTCTCATTGGCTGGCTAATTTATTGATGTTTTCCTCTTCTGGGGATAATCGGTGTTTGGGTCGCTGATTGATGAGCCACCTGTCTGCCAACTCAGCGTCGGTCGGTCAGGCGGTCCGGCTTGTTATGAGCTGCAGAGTTGACTTATATATCACCCAGACTGACGGCCTCCTGGACATCAAATATGCCCATTTGACAGGTCCATTCATAGATTATGTGAAAGCCTGTTACATGTCAGAGCGGAGACTCTTAGAGCTTTTAGGTGTCAGAAATAAGTGACCCCACTTTGACACAGATTTATTAGATTTCTTTTAGACTATCTGGACTTGATCATACTTTAATTGAGGGCTTTGATTAATGATATGATATGTAGAGGGTGGCAGAAAATGATAATATGTTTAAGTGCCAACTCAAGACCCTCCTTTTTTATTTGTATTTTTATGAAATGTATTATTATTTCTTTTTTATTATTTCTTTTTTTCTTATTAATTTTTTTATTCTTATTTAATTTTTTTGTGTTTGTAGAGCACTTTGTTACCTTAAAGGTGGGGTAGGTAAGTTTCAGAAACCGGCTCGAGTGCACTAACATTTGAAAGTACACAGCCGAAAAGAATCCGCCCCTTCCTTCAGACTTCCTTACAGAGCACCTCCTCCAACACACATGAACGCGCACATGACGTCAGCAGACTGGTGAAAGTGGCCGCCTGTTGCTGGCGAGTCATTGAAGTACTGCTGCAATGCACACCCAATGACGGCACGCCCAATGAGGGCACGAGATACATTTGTGCGTGCACGAGATGGAAGGCTGACAGACAGGGCGGCAATCCAATCCGTTTAGCCGGCCCGGCAACATTTTTACAGTATTACGGCTTCCACAGATGACATTTTTTTATGGATTTTTTGTCAAAGCACTTCAGATATTCATTGCTATCGGGATGTTAAGAGCATTCCATGGAATATAATAACAAGTGTATCTCGAGCCGGTTTCTGAAACGTACCTACCCCACCTTTAAGTGTATGAAAAGTGCTATATAAATAAAGTTTGATTTGATCATGATATCCCGCTCACAATGTAACGCTGCAGTTTGACGGTATCAATGCTAATGCAATGTGCCTGTTGCCTATTGGAGATAATTTAGTGGATATCCATATTTTGTGCACAAGGAAGCTGAGAGGCCCAATGTCCTTGGAGTAAACATTATCTGGCTGATGAAATCAGTGGACTGAGCTAAGAGACATTTCCCTCTCCTGCTGATGTGTCTGGTAAAAAGCCTTCAGTCTCTGAGGAGAAAGCGATTTCCAGCAGCCAGCCTTCTGTCTCCATTTGTGACACTGACAAAATAAATGCTACTGCTAATTGTAAGCATGTCCCAATATGTTCCTGCGTGCTCCCGCTCTGGTAATGTGGGCCCTTGACCTCCTACAGTAGTATCCCGGACGTCACTGGCCTCTCTCCCCTCCATTAGAGGATACCTGATCCCGCTCAGGCTCTCACTGATGAAAGACGGCGAGCAGTATGTGCAGGAAATGGGCTCGCAATGGTTCCTGACATGACCCGGGCTACTCGGAGCCATTGAATTGCTTTTATGAAGAGCCCTCTAGTCTTTCTCTTTACCATTACAAAGTGGCTCTCCTCTTTGTGGTGTAAGAGATACTAGGTAGCTGAATCACAGGGTTTGATGAAAGAGGCTTTCAAAGAATCAGATAAAAGGAGGAACAAACATCTTTGAGAAGGATGTGTATTTCTCACCGACTCTCCATCAGTAAACAAAATATTGAAGGAATTACCAGGAGAAGACTTTGCATTTCTGTTTGTGTGTTTGTTTGTTTGTGTGTGTGTGTGGGTTTGTCTTACCACCTCCCAGTCTGTCTCCCTGTCTCGCCTAGCAATCTGTTTGCTCATTGATCACAGAGGGAAGTGCTTCTCGGCCTTCACCTGAAAATCTAAACAGATGTGCGCTGCTCGGGAGCATCCTCTCACATTCATCCAAACATCTTTTAAATGTGTTCTTTACAACCCAGCGTCTGTTTTGCTGAGCACGAATGCGGTTTCATATTCATGCATTGATTCAAATGTACAACTGCAGTTTGTTTACCACAAAACCAGTTTGGGAAATAAGTCGTGGTCTGGGTTCAAATAAAAAACGTTACCCCAGACCATGACTTATTTCCCACTCAAAATGTATTAGTATGTTACATAACTAACAATACATAAGTAAAGAAGTTATTTACAGCATGTGGCTTAATAACCATAATCCACGTATACGTAAGTTCAAATGAATCAACCTTGACTTTTGATTTCCCAAAAGACGCGAACATCGGCTTCATCTGTGAAAGTCCTTTGTTTATTCACAATTAGAGGTTTTGTACCTGTCGATCATCTTTGATGTTGGCTTTTTACTTAACTAACATCACAGAAGTTGCAATGAACACTACAATTAAACCAGGATAAGTTGATACTGAACTAAAGTGAAAGTCATTTTGTAAATCAAACAACCTAAGATGTATATATAAACGATTTCCGATTTGTATTTCCTTGAGTGTTCGTGCCGACTGTGCTTTCCCGCCAAACAGCATTTTTACTGGCTGCACTGACGTTTGCTGTTGCTAACTAGCAATGGACCCACAGCTACCATTTATGTGCAATATGTACAATGCAAGTTTTGAATTATTTGAAAGATTTGCATGAAATCTACTTCTTTCTAATAATTTTCTCTCTACTTTTATAGTTTGTAGCCGTAAGTTAATGAGGGCACCAAGTTTCAAAACAAGAGCAATTTCCAGTTAGATTGAAACATTTTCGACCCATATGGATGTTTCTTCATAGCCCCAGTGTTGCCCCCAGAGTCTTTCAATCCTTCATTCAAAAGTGATAAATAAATGCTCCCCAGCAGCAGTTAGTGAGCGGGGGAATGATGTCTATTCCTTTGCTCAGATATCGTCATATTCTCATACGGACCTCCCCATGTGCCTGAAATTGCACATTAGAAAAACACATTATCTGTTCGACACAAAAGAGACAGAGGTATCACACCATGCTGTCCGAGGACCCGGAGCTCTGTGTAGGCTGACAAGCTTCATTTGACCTCCGAGAAGCATGAAGAGAAAGAAATTAAACTACCCAAGCAGGCAAAAAGGAAATAACAAAGATGAAATGGCTTTTGTAGCACAAAAAGCAATAACTTCCCCTAACGCCTATACCAGCGCCCCCGCCCTCTCAAAGCAGTAGTCGCTATCACTCTCAACAAAGTGATGAAGGGGACTAGCTGCGGTATAAATGGGATTTCGCCATCCCTCGCTATTCTCCTGTCCAAAGCTGCATTTCACTGACTCTCAGCTCCCCTGCTAAGTTCAGTAATGGAGCTTTAAATCCTCCTGTGTTGTTGGGTCCTCACTTATTTGGCTACCGGGTCGTTGATAGAGCTCCTGCTTCTTGTGCCACCTTGTTGATAAGACTTCACTGCCTTGAAACGTCACTGATTATTTTCCCTCCTCACATCGGCCAGGCACATCTCCCTCCTGCGTGCTTTGTATGCTTTCCTCCCTGCAGACATCCTCTCCCGCTTGACTAATACATTGAGACTCTCCTTAAGTGCTTCTCAAAGTGTGGTCCGCGGACCACTGGTGGTCCTGAGCGCCCCCTAGTGGTCCGTGAGTATATTGGTAACATTTCACATTTGAAATTAATTAATCAATTTATGTTTTCCGCACTCTCGCGGGAATATCTCCACAATGGAGCAAGGTTAAGTTTCATTGCATGATATAGCCCAGCACAACACCTTCATCACACATGTTGCCACTTGTTTGTACCATTTTCAGGCGATTTGTAATCTGTTCTAGAAAAACGATGTGTTTTTTGATATGTGTGGAGTTAGGTGGTCCGCGAGTGTTTATTTATTGGTTAAGTGGTCCTTGGTATGAACAAGTTTGAGAAACACTGCAAGGGACTCGTTTAAAGTGAGTTCTGTTCTAGCTTCTTTTTAGTTTTACTCAAAGGTCAATCCCCAGATCTTGTTTTTCATCTGCTCTCTTTATTTTCCAAGCAATCATGTATTATGCTGTTCTGTGTGTGCGTTTGCATGTGTGAGCAGTCCCATTAGAGAAAACAACAGATTGAGAAAAACTGGGAGAAGGGAAAGAGAGGCTGGCGTGGGATGTTTCTCCTACTGTGATCGTTAGGGATTGAATAGATCTTTGGGGGGAATTGCATCTTGTTGAGTGTTTCATGCTTTTCAGCTAAATTGCTGCCTACTTTTCGACAGCTCTGCCAAGTTGTTGTGATTACCGAGGCAGAGCATCACCTCCTGAATGCAACAGATATTGAAAAGGTGTCCTTACTTTCACCCCGTCTGACTCTTTGCACTCTCTCTGACTTTCTTGCAGAGGCCTTCGACCTGGTGCTGCGACACGGCCGTAACTTCACCCTGGCCATGCTGAAGTCGGAGTTCCCGGGCCTCGGGAGTGGAGCCCAGAGCTTCGTGGGGCAGCTCTTCCTGGACATGTCGCTGTACATCCTGGGCTCAGACTCCTCAGTGGACCACATGGTGGCTGTGCTCTATGGGCGCCTCTTCCCCCTGGCTTACCGGCGCCTGCTTGGCGGCACTGTTTCCTCTGCATCTGAGGAGTGTGTGAGAGGGGCCTGGAAGGAGACCGCAGCATTTGGCCCCTATCCAAAACTGATGATGACCCGTCTGTCCCGCTCCCTCCTGGCCACTCGGGTCTTCCTGCAGGCGCTGAACCTTGGCATAGAGGTTGTGAACACCACGGACCACCTGCGTCCCGGGAGGGACTGCAGCCGGGCCCTGCTGAGGCTGTGGTACTGCCCGCACTGCCAGGGCCTGCTGGGGCCGCCAGCCTGCAGGGGCTTCTGTCAGGCCGTGATGCAGGGCTGCCTGGGGGGAGCGGCTGAGGTGCAGCCCCACTGGAAGAGCTACGTAGACGGGCTGGGGAAGCTGGCTGGCGGAATGAGGGGAGAGCAGGACATCGAGGCTGTTGTTCTTAGACTGCCTTCAATTATCAAACTGGCTCTCAAACACGCTGTGAACGCCCGCAGCCGCCTCACTACCGCGGTGAGTCCCAGAACACACACACACACACACAGACTAGAACTGTATTGAAAAATGCAAGGAGCTGCATTGGTTTGGGTGCGTTCCTAGGGATTGAGTGATCGTAGAGTCAATTCAGTATGACAACTGCCCTCCCATTCTGGCTGAGCCGACTGACTACCTGCTGAATTCCCGACTCATGAATGGCATGAAAATAATTGATTGATATCACTCAATGGTCCTTTTTATTTAATTGAACCTAATCAGAATCAGATTTTTTGGCCAATAGGGTTTACACTTACAATGAATTTGCTTTGGTGTTTAATGGTGCAAATATAAACACAAAACGATTTCAATGTAAAAAAAAAAGAAGCAAACAACTACTACCAAATAAAAGATACAATGTTTACAATAAAGTTTATTAACAAAAAATTAGAATATATTGGCTCAAACCTTGATGAGACAAATGTATCATGCTAGCATCAAAGGACTGACCACGAGTAAATTCGACAGTCACCCAACAGAAATAGCGATGCATCATGTGAGAGATGTAAATGTGCAATAATACACTACTAGACTAGGACTACAGCATCTACCAGACTGTATACAGTTAAATATGAGCTATATTTATATTTTATCAAAATCACATTGTTTTTCAGGTCAATTTTGGTTGCTCCTCATTAGCCAACACAGTTTCCATAGTTACCCTAGCTAAAACTCTCGCAATACGGTTACAAGGCAGTATTGGCCTTGAAATTTTAGGTAAGGTCTTCACTCATCAAGACTTTTGAGACTTTGCCAACAAAGTTTTACAAATCTTCCATTACTATTGAGGCATATCATTCAACTAAGTGCTTCCATTGATGTGAATGAGGAAACTTGTATCTACAATATGTCGCAAGACTCTTTCCCTTAGATATTCAAACGGGACATAATAAAATAGATACCACATTAACTTCAGTCAAAGGACTTATTGAGTGAGTGCGTCTAAGAGATCAAGGCTACATTTCTTTAAGTGAAAATATCACTTATAATGAAAAGTGTCTCAGCGTCACAAGGCCCTCAGAGAGCACAGACCTCCTCCAGAGTCGTTTCCATAAGTGAAAACTAAAGCATGTTTCCACACGGTAATTTGGATCAGCTCCAAAAATGAATAGCTTGACACATGCTGGACCCTTCTACCAAGTGTCATGAAAATCGGGCAGGTAGTTTATCTGTGATGCACAAAAACAAACCAGCAAACCTTGGACTGAGCTGAATAAAGAGTGGGACATAATAGCAAGGGAAGAGAAGAAGGCAGGCAGGCAGATGCTCTCAGTGTGTCTCGTTGATTCAACTCCGATAAAAATGCCAACTTTGTTCGTAGCCACATGTGAAGTCAGGGAGAAGTTCTCATGAAATATGGAGACTCCTTTCTGCCAGAGTTACTGAGCTGGATGTGCTTTTGCTCTTGTATATCTGCTGAACTTTTCACTCTTTACACCCAGAATCCCCACGTTGGCCAGGTTTCCACTCAGACCCCATCATTTATTAACACACAGGTTGACCTCACTTACTCTTTACAGCGCCAGGGTGTGGCTGCTTCCATGAAGCGCTGACTTAGGGGAAATCACTCACTGCGCGTGTGATTCTTATCCAGTTAAAATATGTCCTGTGTGGGTTTATTTAAGACTGCAATTCCAGGCACCACAGATGCCTTTACTCTGTGTTTATGGCTCTGACTCTGGTTCCAGTATATGGGATTAAAGCTGCTGTGGTCCTGTATTGTTCCGCAATGTGACAAGGTCGTTTGTGTGTGTAGATGTGGGAGTGTTTAAATGTAATCTTGCAGAGACACTCCTCACTCAGCAGTGTCATTGAAGGGACAGATGCATTGTTTCCCTAAAGGCTAATTTTGCCTCACTAAGGAGTCATCAACCAAAGCGTGGCACACTTGATTGCTTCACCTCCAATAAGGATGTTTGTGAATGACCTTAAGGGATTAAAGGAACTATGCAGTGTTGTCCTTTTTTAGCCAATTAGCTGTAATTTGTCCAAATACTGTAACAAAACAAACTAGTTTACATCAACATAACATGGTCTTGCAGTATCAAGCAGGGAATGTAGGACATGTAATAGAGTCAAAAGCAGAATATTTAAATCAGATTTTCCTTCATTTTACTTAATCATTCCTTAGCTTCCTTCTACGAATACACAAAATAACTTTAATAAAGCTGTTATGTTATAAAAAAGTTTTTTTTTTTTTAACCAGAACCCCTCAAAGTGGTGACCCATTCGAACTTTCTTAGCATATTGTTACCCGGCTTAGTTGAATACTCAATTGTGATTAGTCCAATTAGACATTTCAGAGGTTGTTAATACTTGATAAGACACCGCTGCTAAGGAGAACAGAACGTTGCTAAGGAGAACAGAACGTTGCAAAGGAGAACAGACCGTTGCTTAGGAGAACAGAACGTTGCTAAGGAGAACAGAACGTTGCTAAGGAGAACAGACCGCTGCTAAGGAGAACAGAACGTTGCTAAGGAGAACAGAACGTTGCAAAGGAGAACAGACCGTTGCTTAGGAGAACAGAACGTTGCTAAGGAGAACAGAACGTTGCAAAGGAGAACAGACCGTTGCTTAGGAGAACAGAACGTTGCTAAGGAGAACAGAACGTTGCTAAGGAGAACAGACCGCTGCTAAGGAGAACAGAACGTTGCTAAGGAGAACAGACCGTTGCTTAGGAGAACAGACCGTTGCTTAGGAGAATAGACCGTTGCTTAGGAGAACAGACCGTTGCTAATGAGGATCAAGGGACTATTTGCAGTCATATCACTCCGCAAAAAGAAGTCTAGTAAATGTAACAACAAACATTTGTTTTTGTGTATCATAAAACACAGTGGAATACTTAAAGGTCCCATGTCATGCTTTTCCGGTTATTACCCGTCCCCTTGTGTGTTATAGCTTTTTCTGCATGTAAACGGTGTGCAGAGTCACAAAGCCTCAAAGTACACCGTGTAGCGAGTAAAACTCTAACACAGAAAATACCTGTCTATGCTGCCCCAGAACGCCTCGTTGGACATTTTTTCTCCTGGGTACAGTGACGTGACCATACCCAAATGGACCTATCCAGCGCCATATAGATAGAAGAGTTACGACAACGGAAGTCCAAAAACGGTTATCGTCACGTGGTTCATGTAGAAGAGGATCGTTCCCCGGAAGTTCATGGCGGGCAATGTGAATGCATTGATAACAGGAGATAGAACTACGATTTTTGGTAATTATTAGTGAATAAAGGTTTTGATTTGCAATATTTATACAACAAATCGATATGTGTATGTATTTACATCAATATGTTTTTAAAAATAAAATAGAATTTGCTAATATTAAGTGATAATATTAGGATTAGTGTGAACAACTAGTTTACATGTTAGGCTAACAGTGCCTTGGTTAAAGAGCCTGTTGCTGTTTATTTATAGCTTTGAATTCTCTAAAACCAATATTATCTTCTTAAACCTGTATGGTAGTCAGGAGCATCACTTTCTAATGTTTATTGATATATTTAGAGGGAGGGGATCTAAAGTAATGCTTTAAAATTCAGATTAGATTAATGTCTACCATTTTCTTAAATTCATGGTAGCTTCAGTAATCCCATGGTAATTGAGGACACAAGTTATCTAAATGACTAATCTTTATGGCTTTCAGAAAGGACAGGAGACCGACAGGTGACTATCAAAGGACTAGCAGCAGCAGCAGCATGATGATGATGATGTTAAATGTGTTGTTTTAGGAACATCCATTGCACATACATGGAATTCAATAAACATTGAATAGCATATCATGCAGTTTGTCTGAGCCTTTTCCTCCGTGTTGTCCTGGTTTGCTGTGCTGCCTCCTAGTCGCCACCATGGTTTGCTGTGCTGCCTGGGGATGCTCAAATCGCTCCGAGAAAGGAGTACGAATGTACGGCTTCCCCACTGACACAATGCGGAGGAAAAAATGTCTGGCTCAAGTCAGCAGGAGCAATTTCACGACCAACAGCAAAAAAATATGTGATGTAATTATATACAAACACTGCATTTGCACTTTTTCACAAAACGAAAACCACACCATTGGGAAAGCTTAATGTTTTGTTTAATACAAAAAAACAGGGAAAGGCTTGAAAAACACTGAGAGTTGAGACTAAGGGTGCAGGGTGAGGGTCTCAGTGCAGGTATTCAGGCTCCATTGAATCCCCCTCTGGTTCTTGTGCTGAAAGAGGGAGTAACAGACAGGAGAAATGGTTATACACAGGGCTGCACATAACTGGTGCGCATGCGCACCTCCGCCAAAAAAAGAGCCCCGGGTCATTTGAAACAAAGCGCATTTGCGTACCAACATTGAGAGAGGGGAGAGAGAGAAGAGAGGAGAGAAATATATTTGCGAGTTGCATATGAACTCAGGGTCGGCCCCTAGCACTGGCGTTATAGATGTTCGCCTAGGGCGCCAGATCTGTGGAGGCGCTGCGCTGGCAGTTCTGGGAGGGAAAAAAAACATTTTTGACCGTTGGGGCTCATCCTAATTTTCGGCCTTGATGTAACAATATTCATAATTAAGTAAATGTAACACCCTTTTCACCCCGGTTACACGTTTCATTTGCCCTGTACGATGGGCGCTGTAAATGATGAAGGGTTAGGGTTAGGGTTAGGGAGCTCCAACAAGCCGTGTAGGACAGAGAGTGAATACACATACTATACAGAGATGCTGTATGAGAAAACGAAAACAATGTGAGTTTGGAAAATTGCACAATATAAATCTATTCTAGTAGACCTCAACAATGGAATGATGATCAGTAGAATTGTCCATGACATGGGACCTTTAACCAAAAATGCAGGTTTATATTTTTGGAGAGCACGAAACTTTGCATTGGAGAAAAGAACACTTTCGCATCGAGATCCTGATCACCCTGTACTGTGTTATTTATTCAATAACCCTTTGTTATACATTATCCCTTACTTAAATGGCTGTCACCTTTTGTTATCACTAACATTATAATGCTTTAGATT